ATCTTCCTAATGAGGTATGGGGGGCCCCCCTAGTCAACCCCTCCTCCTGCAGCAGCCAGCAGCAAGGGGGGCCCCCTGCTGCCCCCCACAGCAGCAACCGCCCCCCTACTGAACTGTCTCCTCCTTCTGGCTGCAGCCCCCCCTCAGCCTCGGGGCCCCCTCAACCCAGCCAAGCCTGGGGGGCCCCCATGGGGGCCCCCATGGGGGCCCCTATGGGGGCCCCCATAGGGGCCCCTAAGGGGGCCCCTACAGGGGCCGAGGTGGTGCAGCAGCAGCAGGGGAGGCGCAGCATGGAGGCAGACAAACTGCTGCCTCCTGCTGCTGTCCCTTCTACTGCTGCTGCTGCTGCTGCTGCTGCTGCTGCAGCTGCAGCAGAGAGCCCAGCAGCAATTGGGAGCCGCATCCTCAGGCGGCTGCAGACACTCAACTCCATCATAAACCCACAGGGGCCCCTACAGGGGGGGCCCCCGCCTGGGGGCCCCCCTGCTGGGGGCCCCCCTCTTGGGGGCCCCCTCTTCGGCTGGGGCCCCCCTTCTGTTGCCGCAGGCGGGGACGTTCGTGTACCCTGTGCTCAGCCCAGCAGCAGCAGCAGCAGCTGCAGCAGCAGCAGCAGCTGCAGCAGCAGCAGCAGCTGCTGCAGCAGCAGCGAGGAGACACGTGGAGAGGTGCAGTCTGTGGGGCCGTGCTGCTGCAGCAAACCCGCAGCGGGGACAGATCTTCAGCTGGAGACAGCAGCAGCAGCAGCAGCAGCAGCAACAGCAGCAGCAGCAGCAGCAGGGCCTCCTGTTGCAACTGAATGCGCGGCAGCTACGGCTATCAACCCCGCAATCTATACTTCTGCTGCTGCTTCTGCTGCAGCAGAAGCAGCAGCAGAAGCAGCAGCAAGAGCAGCAGCAGAAGCAGCAGCAACAGCAGCCGCAGAAGCAGCCACAAAAGCAGCAGCAGAGGCAGCAGCAGAAGCAGCAGCAGAAGCAGCAGCAGAAGCAGCAGCAGAAGCAGCAGCACAGTTGGATAGCTGCTGCAGCTACAGCTCAAGGGGGGCCTCCTTCATAGCTTCTGGGGTACCCAGGCTGACCCTCGCAGCGCTAAACTCAGAGGGGGCCCCCCAGGGGCCCCCCGAGGGGGCCCCCGCGGGGGCCCCGCAGGGGGCCCCGCAGGGGGCCCCCCAAGGGGCCCCCCTGGGGGCCCCCCGGAGGGCCCCCTCCGCAGGTTGTTTGTATTCAAGGGGGCCCCCCTATCCGCTGCTGCAGCAGCCACTAACAGACAAGAGGCCCCTTGATCAGCAGAGAAGAAAAACGAAAGAAAACGCAGGAGACAGAGGAGACACACAGATAGGAGCAGCAGCAGCAGCAGCAGCAGCAACAGCAGCAGCAGCAGCAGCAACAGCAGCAGCAACGGGAAGCAGCATAAAAGGAGATAGAAAGAGACAAGGAGACAACAGCCAAGGAAGAAGTAGGAGCAGTGCTTGCGAGGCAGCAGCAGCAGCAGCTGCTGCTGCTGCAGCAACAGCAGCAGCAACAGCAGCAACGCCGTACATACACTCACAACAGAGAGATGAGGGGGCCCCTTTCATGCGCAGCAGCACCCAAACAGAAAAGGATACAGCAGCAGAGCTGCTGCCCTCGACAGGGGCCCCCCGGGGGGCCCCTATGGGGGCCCCCATGGGGGCCCCCAACCCAGGGGGCCCCAGCCTAGACCCCACTCTCCTCGCTGCAGCAGAGAGACGCATGCACTGCAGCAGCAGCACAGCAGCAGAAATGCAGTTCCCCTCCAGCCCTATAAGTAGGAGCAGCAGCACAGTAGAGGGGCCCCCCTATGGGGGCCCCCCTTCTGGGGGCCCCCCTGTATCATCTGAGCTGCATATACACCCCATAAGAACCCCGTCAGTACCCCTTTCTCCTCTTCTCTCATACACGGGGGCCCCCGAGGGTTTAGGGTTTAGGGTTTACCCTTCTGAACCCTCAAACTCTACACACAGCACCACGTCCTGGGCTGTGCACCTAGAGGCGGAAGAGGGTACTGAAGGGGGCCCCCAGGGGCCCCCCTCTTCTTACCTGACCGGGGGCCCCCAGGGGCCCCCCTCCTCTCACCTGCCTAGGGGCCCCCATGGGCCCCTCTCTACGCAGTTGTCTGGGGGCCCCCAGGGGCCCCTCTCGCCTCCCCTGAGTCAGAGTGTTGGTTCCCCTCCCACCGCCGTTGCTGCTGCTGCAGAGCAGCAGCAGCAGCTGGAGGTATGGGGGGCCCCCCAGCAGCTGCAAGGTTCAGCAACTACGCAAGCGCAAACCCAAGAGGGTACAGTAAAGGGGGGCCCCCAAGATACTAAAGAGAGGGGGGCCCCCCCCTCGTCAGCTAGGCAGCTCTGCAACCCCCGCAACCTGCAGCGCCTGAATGTGCAGTGGGCCCTCTGGAGTACCCTCCCCCGGGGGCCCCCTGGGGCCCCTGGGGGCCCCCCTGAGTTGCCCCCTGGGGGCCCCCTGGCCTCCACCCTGGGGGCCCCTGACTATGGGGGCCCCAGCTGCGGGGGGCCCCCCGAGTACCCTTTGCGGGGGGCCCCCTACAGCAACCTGTGCGGCTATCCTTCGTTAGAGGAGGCAATAAGCAGCAGCAGCAGATGCAGGGTGCAGCTGAGCCTGGGGGAGAGAGAGAAGGAGACAGAGAGAGACAGAGAAAGAGACAGAAAAG